AAATGAAGAACCTCACACCGTACTGAATTCAAGTAATGTCCTTAAAACTATCGCACAGAAACGTTGTCAGATGTTTCCGCGGCGGCCTTTACTCCATGAACAAATTACAGCATTTATTGAAAAAAAACCATATCTATTTCGAAAACTGTCATGAATATATAACTGAAATCGATTTCGTCGCTTATTATTGCATGAAGTGACAAAGCACTCCATTTATGAATTCAGTATTTCTCTTTGGCAATATTTGAATAGGTGTGTTGTTCTACGTAATTATTAAAATTGCACCTATTAGACATCGTTGTCCTGGAAATGACGAGTATTAATTATATAATATAATTTCGAGGGATAGCGAACTGCACGTTTTCCTCTTCTTATCTCAAATCGTAAACGCATAAAAATTCAAAATAGTTACAACTACCGTACTTTCAGATACATCTCGTTATACTGCAAAATTTAAGCTCAAATTTGTACTGCTTGTAAAGGTCAGATATTGCACACAAATTTCAAGCATATACTGCGAAACAGCGCGATAAAATAGAAGAATGATAAAGGCACCGGAAATGATATGTTGATCTAAAGAGAAGAGATCGCAACGTTAAGAAGCGAGAAGAAACAAGGACGTTATCACCTATATAACATATGCTACCCTGTCTCTGACCGGTTCCAATAAATCGAAAGCCAAACACAGTCTACAGTGTTAGTATTATTGAGACACGAGGATGAAGAGAGAAAACAATACCACGATTGAAAATAATCGATACAAACCTGAATATCGCAGCATTGTAGCGATAATTGTACGCTTCTGAATGACCATTGACCATGGGATGCCTTAATCTAGAGATCAAAAGTCGTAATATGTAAATATAAAAGTCGTATTGCTACCAATAATTTTAGCCGACTGCTCAAGTAGGCTGAGGCCAGGGTTGCAAACCATGCATTTGCATTCATAGCTAACAGAAACATGAGCGATCGATGTAAGCAAATTGGTGAGTACGAAAAAAGCTATACATCGGATTATCACCTTGCCTGCTTCATGTTGTTGACAACAGGGCTTTTGGCTCTACCGCAGTCGCGCAAAACTTTCTGAAGTTACGTGCACGGTGGCTTTTCCGGATGTTGCCAACACAATACAACAGAAACGTGTATGAAGCAGTGACATAGCTTGATTGCACATGTCTTCTTAGCTAAATGTACTTAGCGCGTGTGCCAGACGGTTAGTGCTCTCTCGATTTCCTGATCCCCCTGTTCCATGCAAATAAGCAGAGGAGCAGTTTCAGGAAGAACCTCAGAAGAATCATCGGAACGAGAATAAAGCGTATCGCAAATTATCAAATCTCATTTGCTTACTTAACTTGGACACTAGCCTCTTTGATGCCTGTTGTAATCAACGTGTCGACGACTCACCTCAAATGGAAACGAGTACCACAGATCTTATGACATACAAAACGGCGCCGTTTGTAAGTATGACATTTCAAGGTTTATCTGTGTTAACTTATTAAAGACGCGAAGAATAACTGAATGGCAATCAAGAGTCAATAGGGTTTCCGCATTACAGTACTAAAATCGTCGATGGAATGGTCATTTAAGAAAAAATAATAATGACGCCGGATTCAAACGAAAAAATCAGTTTCTTACTTTACACCAGCAGCAGACTGTACCGCCCCCTTGCTTCTAGTCGCCTAGGGGGCCAATTATGAAAAGGTCGCTCGACCGCGTCTCGAACAAGATACATTGCCACAATCCGTAGGAGACAAAGTTCTTGGGAGCCATGGGAACCTCAATGTTCTGGCGCTCTATCGATATGGCTCCTGAATATATCATAGTTTTTGACTATTTCGGTCATTGCAGCTTGTGATAATGTCATAAGCAAATGATATAACTATTGCGAGCAATAGGACTGATGCTTGCAGGTAGTTCAGGAGTATCCCGAGGCAAATCGAGAGCCCGTCAAAACTAAAGTCTTTCGTTGATTACTTTATTGCACGCAATGTGAATGAAGGAGTCACTATACCTCTTCTTTTCCTTATTTCATAGTGATGTTTAATTAGAGTATGTACAGTAGTTTAATCAGTTAATTAGTCGCTTGACAATGCATCGCTGTAATCACGGTAGACGCGATGAAGTTATGCGAGCAATCTGCTTACAGTAGACGGAATCTACTTCTCTCAGGTTGTAAGAGATTTAGAAATAATAAGTAGCCGAATGAACAAACTTGTTAAGTTCGCTTCTTCCTGGAATGTTGTCGCAAAGATCTCGGAAAGCAGTATATACAGGCTTGCTTTAAAGCTGATATTGTCACAGAGTACTCTAACTTTCAGATGTGGCTGAAGCCAGTCAAATTATTGGTCAAATTGCTTAAATTGAAAGTAAGTGCTTCAGCATTCGGAAAGTTACACTATGGAATGACGAATTGATAAGAAGATCCCGGTTAGTGCGATTTCACGACACCTTAAGGAAGGATTGAGTAAATCTTCTTGATACGCATCACCAGTGACCCCGGTGCCCCGTGTCCACTACCGACCATGGCAGTTTTTATTACCGAAGGCAAGAACCGCAGGTTAATCGTTCACCGGATTATCTGAGGTGCTTAGAGGACCCTTTGAAAAGGCTACCGCTTTTGCACACCTGGAGCGCGTGAATATTATATCAAATGCGCGGTGAAAACATGGTCGGGGGACACTGTGTTGGTTGCTTTAGCGGCAGTATCGAAAATTGCTATTGTTTATCAATTGTCCAAAACTGTCGGGTTAAATAATATTCCATATAAATAGCAGCGGATTTTGACATTTTTCAGTTTGTATCTGAACGCATATTTGTTGGATCTATCATGACGATGCTGAGTGGCATTCGCATACTGTAGATGTTCAGATACCACTGAATTGTGACCTGGTAAAAACATTCCCTAGGCATATGAAATTAAGGAAAGGGCACGAATACGCCGCGATAATCTGATGATCGAACACGATATAACGTGTTGAGTTGAAAATAGATTATAGAAAAAATTTTTACTTTAATTAGAGTATTTAAACATTTGATTTCTTAGAATATGAGTAATGCGTTTGTATTTTCGCTTGTGATTTGTCTT